TGCCTGCTCTGCTCCCCGCCGGGCTCTTGGTAAATTCTCTCACTCTCCCGCGCTTCTGACTGTACCCAGTGCTGTATAAATAAATAAATAAATCTTTTTTTAAAAAAAAAAAAGACATTATAACTGATACTGCAGAAATATCTAGAAACATAAAAAATATATGAACAACTCTATGCCAACAAATTACATAAACTAGAAGAAATGTATCCATTTCTAAAAACGACCTTCCAAGACTAAATCAAGAAGGAACATGGGCCTCCCCGGTGGCGCAGCGGTTGAGCGCTGGGTTGCGAAGCTGCCCGCCGCCTCTGCGGCGCTGGTTCGATCCCCGGCTGCTCCCCGGCCACTGGAGGAGGGTACCACATGGCGCGCAGACCTCTCCTGCCGCCCGCTGCTCCCCTCAGCAGTGTGCTTCGGTCCTTCTGCCTGTTCTGCTCCCCGCTCTGGCTCTGGTGAATTCTCTCACCCTCCCACGCTTCTGACTGTACCCAGTGCATGTATAAATAAACAAACAAACAAATAAATAAATAAATAAAACAAAAAAATAAAACAAAAAAATAAAAAATAAATAAAAAAATGTAAAGATGCAGAATTTAAAAAAAAAAAAAAAAAAAAAAAAAAGAAGGAACAGAAAATCTTAGTGGGCCAATAATGAATAATGAATAAAAAGGCTGAATCATCCCAATCAAAAAACTCCCAGGAGTAGATGGCTTCACTGGAGAATTATACTGAGTATTAAAAAATTAACATAATCCTTCTCACTCTTCCAAAGTATCAAGGAGGGAACACGTCCAAACTCATTCTGTGAGGCTATCATTATTTTGATATCAAAACCCAGGTAAGAATTTTCACAAGAAAAGAAAACTATAGACCAATATCCCTGATGAATATAGATGCAAAAATTCTCAATAAAATATTAGCAAACGAAATAACACGTTAAAAGGATTAAACATTATCTCCAAGTGGGACATATCCCTGAGATGCAAGGATGATTCAACATATATAAGTTAGTAAATATTGCACATCACATCATTAAAATGAAAGTTAAAAGTCACATCATCACATCAATACAGGCAGAAAAAAAGTTTGAAAAAATGCAACATCCTTTCATGACAAAATCTGTGTACAAACTGAGTCCTGTTAAAAATATACCAAAAAGCTAAATGAGATATTTGAGTATAATTAGTATTTAGCATAATTGGGGACTTTGAATACACACAGGTCTAACATATTATTATGATACTGTAGGAGAACATCTCTCTTAAAGGTACATGCTGCAACATCTTTAAAATGTTTTATTTAAAATACCTAGACAGATAAATGATCATGGCAAAATTTAAACAGTTAAATCTAGATATGGGCATACAGATATTAATTACACTAGTTATTTTTTATATGTTTAAAGAATTCAAAGCTGAAATAAATTTCAAGTTCCAACGTATTAAAAAAAAAAAAAAGATGTTTAAGGCCTTTGTAGTTAAGTTATAAAATTTTACTGTGAGATGTTAAAAATCTAAACAAATGAAGTGAAATAGTGTATATTTGGATTGAAATACATGCAATCCAGATCTGTATTGACGTCAGATCTGGAAGAAAAATATGGACAGTACAATCTATACAAAATTTAATAAATTTGAAGCATTTTAAATGATATGTATGTTAAAATGCAAAAACAGCTAAGAAACTTGAAGAAGAATAACCAGAATGGAGGATTTGCTCAAAATATGAAATTTTCAAAAGGCTATAATTAAGTCAGATTGGTCTTGGTGCAAAGATTGCCAAAAGATTAACAAAACAGAGTAGAGAGCATACAAACACACACACACATAGACACACACACTGATATATGATATAAGGTTGGAGAAAGGACAAATTTTCAATAAATGGTACTGGACCAATCAAATATCCATATAGGAAAAAATGTCCATATAGGATATTTGATATTTTTGGATATCAAATATCCATATAGGAAAAAATGACCATGAACCTTACATGATGAATAATCAATTACAGATAGAGTATAAATCGAAATGTGCAAGATGAAACAAAATATAGAATAAGAAAGACTATCTTCATGATCTCAGTGTAGGAAAGAATTCTTCATATGAAAAATGCACTAATAAGGAAAATATTGATAAATTCAATTACATTAAAATTACAGTCTACAAGGGACTAGTATTCAGAGCATATAAATATCTCCTGCAAATAAGTAAGAAAATCACAGAGAATTCAATAGAAAAATTAAAAAAGATTTGAATAGGCACTTCACAAATTAGGAAAGGTAAATAAGAAAAGGTACTCAACCTTATTAGTAATCAGAAAAATGCAAATTAAAGCTCCAGTGAAATACTAGTGTAGACTCGCCAGCTGGGAAAACATTTAAAAATCTAACATTGCCAAGTGTGATAAGAACATAGAGCACTGGGAAGTCTTATATACTGCTGGCGAACATGTAAATAGTACAGCCACTTTGGAGAACAATTTTGAATTACTTAGGAAAGGTGACAACATGCATGTACCCTTTGATCCCAGCAATTTCACTCACAGGTTAGACCCTAAATGCACTTCATGTACCAGGAAACATATAAGAACATTTAGAATGCCCTCTTTGTTATAACACCAAAGTCTGGTCAATCCAAATATTCATCAAGAGTAGAATAGATTAATAAAATGTATTACTCATATAAAGTGAAATGCATTTAGCAATAAGAGTGAACCAAGTAGAGCTACATGATGAATCTCACAATGTAAAAAACAACAACAAAAAACATAACGATTAAAAAAAGAAGTTAAACACACACAAAAACATACTGTATATTCTGTTCTATATAATACATGAAATAATCCATACTATATGAATATATGTGTGTGTATATATACATATATGTAAGTATATGTGCACACAATGTTTATAATATATAAAATAATGTATATGTTTGTGTAAAAGATATAATCAAGCAAATCTAAACCAATTTTTGGGTTAAAACTATAAAGAAAAGCACAGAAATTATTACCCTATATGTCAAGGTAATAGCTATCGCTCTGGGAAAGAAAGATAGGACATTTCCGATATGTGATAGGTTTCTAGAGTCTGGCAATATTCTCTATCTTAACCTGGATGTTTGTTAAATTATCATATTTCTGTTGTATGCATTTTTCTGTAAATGTATTTTATAATTAAAAAGGAGAAATTAGTCACCCAAACAGCACAAACACAATGTTGTCTATACTGAAACTTTGTGTAAACTCTGTAGTAATGTCTATAGCTTTGGGTTCTTCAGACAAGCTTTTGAGAAACTCATTGAGACAGAATTTCTTAAAGCATTTGAAGCATTCACTTACAGATTGTTCTTGGTTGTGTGTTCAAAAGCAAAAGGAAGCCCTGTGTTTCTTCACTCTAAGCTTTAGCCTTTTGTTCTGAAACACAATAAGATCCTATTTGAAGCCAACCTGTATTGACAGAAATGTCCTGAAATCACGAATAAGCATGAAATTTTGGTTGTGTACACACGTAACTTACTGCATGTTATAGGCCAGGTCCTGTACTAAGACTTTTATCTCATGACAACCTTCATCCCCATTTTAGGGAAGAGATAACTAAGAAAGAAGGGGTTTCAGAAACTTGCTAAGGTGACATAACTCAGAAGTGATTCAGCAGGGATGCATGCAGGCCTGCTCTTGAATCTTATCTTCCATCCCATATTGCCTTATGCACCTCTCCTTGACCAAACTCTAGACAGACTCCAGCACTGTCTTCTGGGCCCATCTATACACTTCCTTGTAAAATTTAGTTTTAGCAAGAAACTTGCTAAGTCGATTTAACCAGAATGCCCCAGCTTCCATATCTGATCACTGTCGGTATCTTCCATTTCTCAGGTGATGCCTGGTCACCCTGATCTGTGTTCAGAAAAAATCCTGTTAGTATGGTGTAGCCAGAATCCCCTGTGGTTTCCTCTGTCCACTGACCTCCGCCCAGCCTTGGCCATGAATCTGCACTTTCCCATGCTCTGTTGGCGTGAAACCAATCTCTCCTCTGCTGCAAAATTCCACTGCAGTGCTCCCTATGCCTTTCATAGAGCCCCCTTCTCCCCCCATCCCTTGAATAAAGTCTTCCTTCTACAGGGCTGAATTTTTTTTTCTTTAACAAAGGAAGGGAAGACACCACTGGGGTGAAGGTCCTGAATGAGTGGAGAGGTACTTCTCCAAGTTCATTGAGACTGTTAATAGCATTTGATGGGCCAGGAAAAACAAGTTCTCAGATATCAAAAGAATGTTTGCAGGGCCTCCCTGGTGGCTCAAGGGGTTATGCATCAGCACTGTTAAGCTATCTGCAGTCACTGCAGCACGAGTTTAATCCCAGCCAGGGAGCTAACCCACATGATGCAGCAGACCTCTCCTGTCTCACCCCCTGCTCCCCTCAGCAGTGTATTTCAGTCAATCTGCCTGTTCTGTTCCCCACTCTGTCGCTGGTGAATCCTCTCACCCCCCACCCCCAGCACCTCTGGCCTGCACCCCAGCTCTTGTATGCATAAATAAGTAAATATTTTTTTAAAATAGAATGTTTACAGAAATCCTCTGGTGCAGTGGATCAGCTCCTCAACACACCAATTTTACATGTCCAGATTGGGTTTGCGTGAAATAAACGCAGTAATTCCTCTGTCATACAGTGGGGGGCACCCTTGGACTGATTTTTATTATTATTTTAGCTTTCCTATAAGTGGTTGGTGAGTGGGTGTGTTCAACAGCCCGAGAGAAGAAACAGCAAAAGTTAAAATAATAATAGCAATAAATGACTCATAAAGTTTTTAAAATTCTATGAAGTTAAGAAAATAATGGAAAAGAAACTGAAAACCAATGAATTCAGTTTCACAAATTGTTGCTAAAAGACAGTAGCCTGTTAGCGGTCTCCTGACCTTTCCACAATATTAGCCCCCAATTTACTGCAGTTTCATTTGTTGCACATAATTATTTTTAGTTGAGGCTTTGTCCTTTTCACTTCCACGTTTCCGAATTCTTCAGGGGTGCTCGCGACGCTGCGTAGACTCGGAAGTTTGGCTATCAGTTTACACGTAGCCTGCAGTAAATAATCCGTCAGAGATCCACCCATTTGCTTTCTCCCTCCCCTCTTCCCTGGAGAAATCCTCCCCGCTGGCTCTCCCGGGAAGGCACAGCCAGGAGTTCCAGGGCCCAAGTCTCCTTGGCAAATGGTCTTTTGCTGAAACTCGCTTTCTGCCCTTACGGAGCCATGCTTCGAGTGATCGTGGAATCTGCCAGCAATATCCCTAAAACGAAATTTGGGAAACCGGATCCTATCGTTTCTGTTATTTTTAAGGGTAAGGAAAAGTTTTTCTCTTTTTCTCAAGTGCTGTTTTGAAATGTTAGCTTCTTGGCTAACAGTCTGTGCAATGAAAGTCTGTGTTTATGCCACTGATAAAGCGTGCTTACCTGGGCAGGTCAGGAGAGAGGTCTGATTTCTGTGGGAGGCATTTAATTTCCCCTGGGCTTGGAGGCTCATTGAATGACTTGTTATTTTAATTCTAATAACAAGATTCCTGTTAGCCTTGGGTCAGAAAACTGTGTTTGTTAATCCCCAAACCTCAGATAGCAAAAGACACGTTTTGATTTCGGTTCTATGCTTTTGGTCTTTTTGGTTCAGCAGTATACATACATATTTATTTTCTCTGCCTATGTAAAATGGATAAAGGAGGGAAAAGGACAATTAAATGGACTGAGGTATCATGACTCCATAAATCAGCCTTCTGGGACATTTTTCGTCCCTGGGTTTTGGGGTGGAGGGATGGAATTATTATTTTGGATTAGTTTCTCATCTTGTCCTGTGCTTCTTTGCAATTGCTCTTCATCTCTGCAAAGCTAAATGTTGCCTGCATGTTCCATGGCTTATAATTGCTTAGAGAGGGAAGAGCTCTGAACAGCAAGTCTGCAGTTAGGGGAACTAGTTTGGCCCTGCTAAATAACCTTGGGCAAGTGACCTCATTTCTCTGGATGTCAGTTTTCTTTTCTGAAAAATGGGGAAAGGAAGGTTTAAATCAGATGGTCTTTGAGAGGCCCATTGTAATTCCAAAAGGTTATTTTTCTATGACGTTTAGCTGCAGTCACAGTGGAGGGACAGGAATGGCTGTAATACCCTCTTCCAGGCATTGTGATTCCAGGTTTGCCTGCAGTGGTGTATCTAAGACTCAGTTTGGGAGTTTTATCATTTTCTGTTTGTCTAAAGTCACTGGTAAGATTGCCGCGCTCTTCTTGGTGGGAGGGATGAAGTGAGGGGGAGGGCAGAGAAAGCTGGACCCCTGATGCCCCAAGTTCCGGACCACGCCTGGCACTTTTCTCTCTTCCTCCAGGAACTGACTACTTCTCCATTCCACTTGCTGGCTTATCTCTGCTTTTTCTTTTCTCTCTCTCTCTCTCTCTCTCTTTTTTTTTTTTTTTTTTTTTTTTTGGTCTGTTTTATCTCCTTATTGCTTTTCTTAAATCATTAAGTTAAGGATGAGCAAGAAAATAAAGTAACAGACCCAAAAGCTGCCAAGTAAGTGGTTGTTCAGTTAAAAAGAAAATGGATTTGAAGGCAAGTATGGGATTCTTGGAGACCAATGTGATTTTAGGAGCTGCTTAGTGAATATTGTGTAGTTATATCAACATTCACATGTACTAGATTTAAAATTTTTTTTCCTTTGAAGCAATTACATAATAAAGACATAATTTGAGAAGTTTATATCTTCACCGTGGACATGTAAAGACACCTAAAAATATCTTGGGTTCAACTGGTGACATCATTATCAAAGATTTTAAAGCAGAGTTTAACACTAAAATATGATTTGTCTGGAGTGTTTAAGCTTGACCAAAATTTTAAGTAAGTAAAAATAATGTCTAAGGCTAGGAACACAAACAATCCACTGAAGGTGGAAAACTCAGTGAAATTAGGCAAATATAGTCTATCCAAGCAATTATATTTACTAGATTATTTACTTTAGTGTCTCTTCCAAATCTCCTTTTATTATGTGAATTTATTCATCTGACAAGCAACCTGACAGAAGAAAGGACTCTGATCTTGGAGAAGGAACATCTGGACTATAATTGACATTAACAAAGAATCTGGTGACCCAAATTTAAGAACCTGGGTTTCGAGGGCCTCCCCGGTGGCACAGCGGTTGAGCGCGCTGGGTTGCGAAGCTGCCCGCAGCCTCTGCAGCACCGGTTCAATCCCCAGCTGCTCCCTGGCCACCGGATGAGGGTCCCGCATGGCGCGCAGACCTCTCCTGCCGCCCGCTGCTCCCCTCAGCAGTGTACTTCGGTCCTTCTGCCTGCTCTGCTCCCCGCTCTGGCTCTGGTGAATTCTCTCACCCTCCACGCTTCTGACTGTACCCAGTGCTTGTATAAATAAATAAATAAATAAATAAATAAATAAATAAAAGAAAACTTAAAAAAAAAAAAGAAACTGGGTTTCAAATTTCTCAGCTGTGAAATGATGGGACCCGATCTCCTTGGGGTTCCTTCACTTTTAAAATCTATAATTTTATAGTGCTATGTATTGACTACCTACCCTCAGCAAGATATGGAAGACACTGCCTTAGGTTATAGAACAGCTATGAGAAGGAATTGATAAAGAATATTGCACTTTTCTTGTTTTCAGTCTATCTCAGTGACTTAAAACGCTGCTAATGGCAACCCTTTCAAGGCATACCTCCCAATCTTGAGTACTGCATAAAATTAAGTAACATTAAGTTCTGACAGTTTTGTGGATACTTACATGCTGATGTGTCCATCAGAGTAACATGGAACAAAACCAGATGTGATCCATGGTGTGAACTGGGGCAAGAGCGAGGGAATAAGATGTAATAAGCCTTGACAGACTATCAAGGAGGCACCAAAGAAAATCCCTGTATTTACTGAAATGTGTGAAAGGTTGTCTCTTGGTAAGTACAATAGCAAGGTCAGGACAGTAAGTAGCACTTCGTTAAGATGGCTTGAGGAATGCCCCATGACGGGCATGCTGATGGTGATGCGGAATAGACAGACTTAGCCGTGCGCTAGAGAATGTGCCACACCATCAGCCTGCTGGTTTAGAGCTGGCTTCCGCCTTCTGTGTTCAAGCTCCTCTGAGGCTGACTACAGAATTACTCGGGATCTGGCTCCGCCCATGTGGATGTGGGCTTTACTGGAGCCCCTGCTGTTATGAATGTCCAGCAGTGCAGAAGTGGCTCATGAAAACCACAAAGCTGATTTGATTTTGGGGAAGCACTAGGTGCCATGCACCGGTGCTAAGTCTCTAGGTCAAGTTCCTCCCAGACAGAGGAGCGCACAGATAGCCGTGCTGCCGTGAATGCAGCTAAGGTTAGATTAGACAGACCTCTGAGACCTCTCTCAACACTGAGACTTGATTCCCCAAACTTAACAGGTTTTTTATTATTAGACTTTAAACTTTATAATTTTTTAATAAAATAAGTAATAAAGAAAAGAAAACTAACAATCTAGAGAGATTATACAACTAAAAAGTAGAAATTCTGACCACACTGCTGTTTTCTCTCCCCACTCTCATTACCTAAGAGTAATTAATCTCTCTGAGCATTTTGAATTTTCCCTTTTGCTATAAACATGTAAGTTGTTCCCAGGACTCGCTGTCAGCAGCGGTTCTAGAATGGACTTCTTTACAGTGCATTTCTTATCTTTCTGAATGGGTACATTTCCAAAGGACAGATTCTGGTCTACATGCCTTGCCCTTTATCTTGTCTTTTCTTTTAAAGGTGGATTTGCTGGATATTGCCATTGAATTCCATGTTCTCTTTGGCTTATCTTTTGCTTCTGCACCAAAAATTTTTAAAAAGACTTGTTTGGAGATTTGCTTGCACAGACTTATAATGTGCTTTGACAGTGTGGCAGCACCTTGTTCATGTGAAACATCAACTCTAGGGAGTGTGGCTGTTGACACTGTAGTAGTTTTCTCACTCCATCCTTGTGATCTTGAGAATTTTTTCTCACTTCTGCTCTTCTGTAGACCTTTGCCTTGTGGGATGGCTTCTGTTGTTGTCCAGAAGGTCACCAAACAATTTTCACGCTATTACTTATTTTTTCAGAGCTGTTATTCCATTTGCTTATGCTTGGGAATGAAATCCTAGATGTATCTAGGACACGCTCCCCCTCAGTGAGCTTATTAACATGGAGTTTTGAACTAATCACTTGACCTCTCCGGGAACCTTTTTTGAAAATTGGGGTTATAATGGTTTACCTGAAAGCGAGTAGATATATAGAGATTTCCAGAGGCTGTAATTTATGTAATATTTTTTCTATTTGGAATTTTACAGTTGAATTTAAAAAATAACCTTTTAAATAAACATAAAAGCTATGAGGTCCCATTGAAGAATGGTGAAGTAAGATGGTAGAACGATCCAGTGAGTCTTGTTCACTGTCACCTGGGAAGGTTGTCTATCCAGGATTAGTCAAGAGGATTCTACCAGCTCACAATGACAACCATGCCAAGTCAGTACTTCCGTAGAATCCCTGAACTGTATTTGCAAAGCATTCAGGAAGGGGAAAGTGTTTAATCTGTTGAGTCATCCCTCTCACTTCTGGGAGAACAGAGCTGCAGGCTCACCACCCAAAAAAAGTGGCCACACCCTACTGTGACATGGGAACCCTCAAAGGATGCTTCCCAAAGGCACATTTTGTGGACATGCAGTCATTTATAAAACCCAGTTGCCTCTTGGAAATGAATTTACATGGCTCTTTTCCTTCTCCTCTATAACATATCTTCCATGCATACCCTCAAGATATGTCCTGGGTGTATTTGCCTGGTTTGAGCTTACTGGTAAGTTTCTTCATTCCCCTGGGATTTGGCCCTGCCAAGAGGCTATGGAATTTTTATATTCACCGCGACACCTAGTACATCACTGATGTTGAGTATGCACTTTAAACATTGGCCAGGGAAGCAAGAGCTAGCAGGAGATTGGAGACATCTTAGTACAATAAAATCATTGCTTCCCGGTGTTGAAGAGGACTGTTGGTAGTCAGCCAATCTCCCTTCTATCAGGAAGAATTACCTTTAATATTCTCTCAGGTGCTTTGTAGCTAAAGCTTGGCAAAGAGTCAGTTCACACATTCCCAAACACTGAACGTAACTAATTCCTAGCACCTGCTACCCAGGGGCAAATCGGTGTCATGGTGTTTTTTACATTCTTGATCCTGGTCAGGAAAATGAAGCTGTTAGTTTTTATGTTGACAATTTATACACAAAATGTTCCGTGGCTTATAAAGAATGAATAATGCATAGATAAAGCAATGGTTACCCTACCCCCTGTGGAACTCCTATTGAACAGCTGTT